CTTGTCGCCCAGTTCGCCGAGGGGGGGGGAGCGACGGGGGAGGCACGCCGACTCCTTGTTCCATGCCCGCACAACGAGACGGGAGAGGATAGGAGGAGAGGGTGAGTAGAACGGGGAAAGAGACATGCAGATGCCCACGCAAACAGATCTATAGATGCGTATATATATATATATATATATATAGATATACATGTTTACATGCACACGCATACATATATATATATATATATATATATATAAACACTAAAACTACGCGCGCGCTTCGCGCGCGCTTAGGTTCTAGCCGTGGCCGCGGAACAGCTCCGAAGACGGTATGAGCAGGCACAGGTCCAAGGATGTGGCGTTAGCCCAGAAATCCGACCTCCTCCCCGTCCTCCTCCTCCCCCTCCGCCTCCGGGGGGCGCCTGTCCTCCTCCGGATGGGGAGAGGGCACCAGCATGGCCCGTGGGATCTGTTTGGGAGCCCTTCGGGGGGAGCCCTTTCGGGGGCTTCTGGCGGCGTCTTGGGGGCCTCCGGAGCGCTTCTTGGAGTTTCCTAAGGGCTTTTGGGGGCCGAAGGCTCGAAAGGTCCGTTCGGATTCCCTGTCTGGGGTCCTTCTTAGAGCCGTCTTGGGGCTATCTTGGACCGTCTTGGAGGCCTCTTGGGCTGCTTGGGTCCCTCCCGGGCTGTCTTGGGGCCGTCTTGGGAGCCTCTTGGGCCGTCTTTGGGCGATCTCGGGAGCCTCTTCGGCTATCTTGGAGCGTCGGGAAGCCGCAAAGGTGAGAACCACAAAAAATCCTCCAAGACCCTAGAAAAACAACCATGTTCAGCTCTTGTGGCCCTCTGAAAAAAAGCCTCTTGGAGGCCTCTTGGGGCGTCTTGAAGCCTCTTGGGCCGTCTAGGGACTATCTTGACTGTCTTGGACCGATCTTGTGGCGTCTCGGAGCCCTCATGGACATCTTAGGTGCTTCCTGGGGCCGTCTTGGAGGCCTCCTGGAGGCCTCCTGGGCCGTCTGGCAGCCCCTTGGAGGCGCCAGGGCAGGGGTATTAAAAAAGGGGCCCCGATGGTTTTTGAGGTGGGGCCCCTGGGCTGGGGACCTGGTATTCATCCATATTATATAAATGTATAGATGTATATGTATATATATATATATATATATATGTGAATAACCGCGCACGATTGGGTTCTAACGCAACCCAAGTCAACTTACCAGACTGGATGACGACGGATTTCACCCCGCAAGGATCACTCCCTGGTGGACGCTTCAGGAGTCGTTGAATAAGCAATCCCGCTGCGTTGAGCAGACACACTGAGCAGCTGCCCGAAAGTTACCGTTGCGAGGTTTCCGAGAGTTCGTGGCCTGGACAATTTTCGCGGTCTTGACGATACCTATACGACCATCCTTCGTGTGACAAGGAGGTTCGGGGGGGGAGGAACCAACGTCTGACTCGATCACTCTCATTATCGATCTCACTATCGATCTCACTATCGGTCTCGCTCGATCGATCTCACTCGATCTATCTCACAATCGATCTCACTCGATCTATTTCATTCGATGGGTGTCAGAATCGATCTGATTATCAATATCACAATCGATCTCACTATCGATCTCAGTATCGACCTCACAATCGATCTCACATTCGGTCTCACTAACGATACCACACTCGATTTCACAATCAACGTCATCATCATCATCATCAACATCATCGTCATAATCGTCATCAACGTCATCAGCATCAGCATCAGCATCATCATCCTCATCCTCATCCTCATCCTCATCCTCATCCTCATCATCATCATCATCATCGGGACACCACAATCATCAACTCATCATCATCATCATCATCATCAGCATCATCATCGGGACAACATCATCGTCACCATCATCACCAAACTCCTCATCATCGGGACACCATCATCATCATCACCATCGGAACACCTTCATCATCATCATCTCACATCATTATGAACAACACTATCAGCATCATCATCACCATCGGGACACCAGCATCATCATCAGCAACATAATGTCATCATCATCATCATCATCAGCATCATCATCAGCATCATCATCATCATCGGGACACCATCATCATCGTCACCATCATCATCATCACCATCACCATCATCATCGGGACACAATCCGCATCATCATCAACATCATCATCATCATCAGCATCGGGCCAACATCATCAACATCATCATCACCTCATCATCATCATCATCATCATCATCATCATCATCATCATCATCATGATCAACATCATCATCATCATCGGGACACCATCATCGTCATTATCATCATCATCGGGGCACCATCATTATCATCATCACCATCTCATCAACTCATCATCAACATCATCAGGATCATCAACATCATCATCATCGGGACACCATCATCATCATCATCATCATCATCATCATCATCATCATCGTCAGCAACATCATCATCATCATCATCATCATCAACAACATCATTATCATCATCGGGACACCATCATCATCACCACCATCACCATCATCATAATCAACATCATCAACATCGTCAACATCATCATCATCATCACCATCGGAACACCATAATCATCACCACCATCACCAGCATCATCATCATCAATATCATCGACAACATCATCATCATCATCATCATCATCATCATCATCATCATCATCATCATCATCATCATCATCATCATCGGGACACCGACGGGACACCGGCGGGACACCGGCGGGACCCCGCGGGCCACTGGCCCCTGGAAAGGAATCATTTGGTCCGGCCGCGCTTCAGCCGGAGGCGGGACACCGGCGGGAGACCGCGGGCCACGGGCCCCAGGAAAGGAATCATTTGGTCCGGCCGCGCCTCAGCCGGAGGAGACTTTCTTCTCGCCCGCCCACGCAGCTTCGCCTCGCCCGCACGCACGGCACGCACGAACACGAAACCGAAACCGATTTCCTGGCAGGAGGGCTCTCCGTTCCGCTTCGATCTCACCCCCTCACCTCCGATTCTGGGAGCGTGGAGGTCCCCGCGGACTCTCGCGGAAGTGTTTGGAAGGTCCCTTGGGAACTCTGGGGGGCCAACTATATGGGGCAACTCAAACCATCCAAAGGCTGCCAAGTTCAGTCGAAGCCGCAGCGGGCGCGATCTTGGGGATCCCTTCGGTCGTCCTGTCGTGCCTTGCTGGGAGGCGTTCAGATTTTGCGCGACATACGGTACCAGGCAGATGACGCGGCGCCCTCTTCTGATGGAGGCACAGTACGATTTGGCACCATAGGTATGCGAATGCCGAAGGAAGGCGAGCAAGACAGCCATGTGGAGGACCTAGGGTAGCATATGGGGGGACGCCCGAGAGAGAATTCCTAACAGCCTGGCAACAACAACATGCTGGCAGTCTCTTTACATGCCTTTTTCGGGGACGTTCTTGGAGGGCTATTCGGGGGTTTCTAGGGGTGGGGTCTCTTCGATTTTGGGTGGGGGTCTCCTAGAGGCCTGTGGGAACTATTTTGGCGCGCCTCGGAGGCCTCCCCAGGGCTCTTCGCGTTTTGGCTCGACATGTTGAATGGAGTTGCGAAAACAAATCCCACCAGCCCTCTGGGCGTCGGTGGTTTAACAAGTTTCCTCTTCCACCCCTCCCTCTTCCCCTTCGGGGAGGGGTTTACCCCTCCCCCTACCCCCTCCCCACTGACCTGGACAGGAGGGGCGGGGAGCGGTCAGAGCGTCCAAAACGGCCTCGGCGAGGAAGCCAAACACATTGATTTTACTATGGTTTTGGCCCCATTTTGGCCTTCTCAAGGGGGCAACGCTAATTAAGGCTCCCCTCTTCTTTGGTCGATTTCCTCCACGATGGCCGCAAGAGGCCCCCAGGATGCCCCAAGAGGCCGCAGGATGGCCCCAAGATGGCCCCGAGAGGCCCCCCAAGAGGCCCCCAGGAGGCCCCCAAGAGACCCCCAAGAGGCCCCAAGATGGCCCCAAGAGGCCCCAAGAGGCCCCAAGAGGCCCCAAAGAGGATCCCGAACGGCCCACAGAGGCCCCCCCGAGGCACCCAAGACGCCGAAAAGCCCCTCAGGACGACCCTCTACTCGCCTGGGCGTCGTTTCTGGACGGGTTGGTGGGGATTTTTTTTTTTTTTTTTTTTTTTTTTTTTTTTTTTTTTTTTTTTTTTTTTTTTTTTTTTTTTTTTTTTTTTTTAAAAAAAAAATATATATAATAATAATAACAATAATAATAATCATAATAATAATAATATTAATAATAATAATAATAATATTAATAATAATAATATATATATAAACAAAAAAACGCAGGCGGAAGCGCCGGCGGCGGGCAGTCACGGTCGGGTTGCGGCCGCGACTAAATTCCCGGGCGCGCCCGGGGGCCGCGGATCAGGCGGCGGGGGGGGGCAGCAACCCAGGGCGTCTAAGAGGCCAGGCGGGCGTGCAACCCAGGGAGTCTGAAAGGACAGCCACCTGAGAAGTCGTGCAAGCTGCGACCCAGGGAGTCTGAGAGGACAGCCCTCAGGGCGAGCCAGGCGCAGCCAAAATGGCGCGCAGCAAGTGCCGATGCGATCGTGTCGAGGCAACCGCATGGCAGGGAACGGCTTCCGTGCGAGAAAGTCGATCCAGGGAGTCTGACGGGTATGAGCAGACAGAAACTGGTGACGTCGTCCAGCAGGAGAAAGCCAGTCCAAGGAGTCTGACGGGTATGGGCAGACAGGGCTGGTGACGCGATCCCGCAGAAAAGTACTCTGACAACGCCAGCGAACCGTCGCAGCATCAGAACGGGCATCCGTGAGGTGGAAGCTGAAGCCCCGTGGGCGGAGGTGAGGATCTTCCACTGTGGAGATGCGCCTGAGCCCAGTGGTCCAACGGTCTGGACTGGACCCAGCGGGGGCACGGCCACTCGGTGAGAACGTGAGGTCGCTCAGAAAGTGCCGATCAATGTGGCCCGCGCCAAGGCCCGCGCCCAAGCGTGGAGGCGCGCGAGGGACAGGACCGCCGTATACCCAAGGACGCGTCCCTCACAG